CCCCCCCCCCCCCCCCCCCCCGAAACGTAAGGCGGTCATTCCAATTCTCAAGGTAAAATTTTGAACAACACAACTCGCATAAGGTTTTCCTCGTCCTCTTCTTCCCGCCAAACACCAAAGTTCAGGCCGACATCAACAGCGAATACCGTCCATTACGTAATACACATACGTGCAGGATAAGTCCAACAAGAAATCTAATCAAGACGTGAAGCAATACAATTCGAGTAAATATTCTCGAAGAATTCAAACTGCTTTTCTCCGACCGCCAGAAGCACTATCGCCAAGAGCCAGAGGGACCACGTCGAAATACAAGAATTACACATCGACACGCCGCTCACATTAACATTCAGATAAACAATGTTTTTCTCCGAACACTGCACGCACTAAATCGTTCGATTGGTTACAAAAGGATAATACTGAACTGACTAAGCACACGACAACGCCAAGGCCAAAAGGAACCACATCGGAATACAATAATTACGCACACATCGACACCGTTCAAATTAACATTCGCAACAGATTAACCTAATACAACATCGAAAAATTACGCACCATTTCCTTCAGCTTAAGAGATATTAGAACAAACTCGCATACCTTGGAGAATTGCAGAATTCTTTAAGACATGTCTTCATTCAAAATCATTCACAAGTGCATCCTCAGCTAGAGACAGTCAATTATATTACTCCGAGGTAAATTGTTTTGCTTCACGATAGAGACTCACCATCATAAGCAGACACTCTTTCGTAACCAAAACTCATGCATGTTTATCGGATCAACCGCTCTGCAATCCGCAAAAGAATCAACAACTCTCTGAGAAGACAGATACTACTGAACCCATTAGCCACGCCATCGCCTATCGAGCACCCAGGTCTGTTGCCAGCGAGATGTAGCCATTCGATCATCAAACTGACCAAACAGCGAACGAACTGACGACATGAAAATGAATAAACACAGTCTCTCGATAGGTACTTTCCCTCTCTTTACCGTCAACTGAGAGAGATGGAAATGACACGGAGAACAAATACTAATAATAAAAATAACAAAAAATAAAAAGAGAATTAAATTTAGTGAGTGCGCGAGCACGTTTTCGACACCGCCATCTTTGGCAATTTTTCTTTTTTTTTTTGGCATAGCTAAATGCCCTGAAAATTTACTGATGTGTACTTCACCTAATACAAAACCCACAAAAAAAGTTTCAAAAAATAATAAAATTGCTTAGACCCCGAACTAAAGTGAAAACAAAGAGTAAAAAGTGAAAACAAACGTTGGCGAGCACATTTTGACACTGCCATCTTTGGCGATTTTTAATTCTTATTTGGCTGAGCCAAATGACGTCAAAATTTGTAGGCATGTACCTCACTCACATCATAGAGAACTCACAAAAAACAATTCAGGAAAAAAAAAAAATTTAGGCCCCGAAATATTTTTTGGCGGGGGCCGAACGCCGTCGGCTTTGGACCCCGTACGGGACCCCGAACGCCCATACGTACAGAGGTCGGCCCGGGGACCCCCGTACGTACAGAGGTCGGCCCGGGGACCCCCGTACGTACGGGCTGGTGACCCTATATATATATTATATATATTTGTTTTTTTTATATTTTTTAATTTGTTTTAAATTTGGTAAAGAATTTCGATGTGACCCTGAGGCAAAAGTTGTTCAGTTTATTGTCTGCATCGCTGCCATCACGTAGTTTTTGTTTTGAATTTTTTTTTTTTTTTTTTTTTGTTGGGCCCTTCCGTGGTCCTTGCAAGACCGGGCCCCCCGGTCAAACAAGGTGACCAGGGCGGCCCGGCTGGTAGCCCAGCTTACGATACCATCTTTTATGGACGGCAGTTGTGAGATGGATAAAGTTGTAGCACATGATTATTTTAGCATTCCACATCGTCTCGAAACACTCTTGACCTTGTGTATAGCTAGCGGCCCTACTTGCATGCCATGTAAGGAATGAGTAAGTGTCCCCAGCCCCTTTAATCTTTGGTAACCACTATGAGTGTTCCCATTTCCCTTTACCATAAATGTGATGCCTCCGGGAAGAAGACATTAAACCACCGCCTCTACCTCCTGAAAAATATGGCCAATCTTTGCTGATAGGAGGAATAACCTCTAGCCGCCCGATCGTCAATCCAACTGACCAACTGAAAAAGGCCGGGTTGCCCGGTAACCAAGGTCAGCACAGAAAGGTAATTACACAAAAACTTAAGCAATGCATGCTATGCTACTGTATATATTTATGTTGCTATCCCAGCAACTAACCTTTCCCGATGCAGCGCAACTGGTTTACAAACAGACACGTGGCAGGTCCTTCAGGCTCCTTGAACGGATTAGTTTCACGCAGCCTGCACAAACAGTTCCAAATCCTTGCCTCAAAGCTGAACTAGCTGGACACATAAATGATGAGCATGGTGGAAAGAAGAGGCCATAACCCTTTATTGGTTTTGTGTTTGACATGCCATAACAATTGACCAAAGAACTCAAAAACAGGAAAAGAAACAAAAAAAGACTCCAAAGAACGGTAAGGTGGATAGACATTTGATTCTATCAGGATTCAAACTCATGACCGGGTCACCTTGTTTGCCCGGGCGGCCCGGCCGTGCAAGAACCGAAAAAGGTCCCAGCATAAAAAATAAAAAAAAACATGTTATGCAGAAAAATAAAGTGAGCAATTTATTATTATTATTATTTTTTAACAAAACAGCTGGGAACCGGGCCCGGTGTCCCTTATATTTCAGTGCCAGGAATCGGGCCTGGCGTCCCTTACAAAAAGTTCCGCGGTCCTGTTCAAGGGCGAGACATCACCGGTCAAGCCCAAAAACTGGACTGCAACACACCACAAATCCTATGCACAAAAAGAAACCACCGAAGGAAGCAAATCAACCAATCTCTCT